TCCCTGGTGAGTGAGGACATCCTTACCTAGCTGCAACACCTAAACTTAACATCAGTGATTATTGTGACCCACTGGAAATTTAAAATTCTCAAGCAGGAGAAGGCTAAGAAGTGAATTGGATTTTAATCGTCAGACACCCAAATAGGGTGCAGATTACAAAATTAGCAGATATTATTCTGATTAGAGGCCTCAAGCTGAAGAGAACAACAAGAAAACACTTACCTCAAGCTAGAAAAAAGGAAAATACTTACCGTTTTTGAACCAAATTAAAGGGAAACCTAAGGAAAAGGACATTTAAAAGATACCACTCTGTCATGCCTGATGAAGGACAAGCCGCCCTCCGAAACGTTGCAACAAGGCAGAGTGAAGCAGGACCAAGTCGGCCTGAATTAAGGATAAAAAAATCAACAGCTACAGGACCCGTGGAGTCCAATTTTTTGAACCAGCGCAGAGGTAATGCACTTTTGTGTCTGTTATAAGGGAAAATGTGGAGTTTGGAGGTGCTTTTCACTTTCTGGGGACTCTGAAGGCACATCACAGGACCGTGCACCAGTCTGGCTAACACTCGTTAGCCGGGACTTTTCCCCTCCTCCTAACCAGCCAGTGCCGTGTGTGTCATTCTGGAGCTTTCCCTGGAGAGTGAGGACATCCTTACCTAGCTGCAACCCCTAAACTTAACATCAGTAATTATTGTGACCCACTGGAAATATAAAATTGAAACCTCAAGCAAGAGAAGACTAAGAAATTGGATTTTAATCGTCAGACACCCAAATAGGGTGCAGATTACAAAATTAGCAGATATTATTCTGATTACAAGCCTCAAGCGGAAGAGAAGGACAAGAAAACACTTACCTCAAGCTGGAAAAAAGGAAAATACTTACCGTTTTTGAACCAAATTAAAGGGAAACCTAAGGAAAAGGACATTTAAAGATACCACTCTGTTATGCCTGATGAAGGACAAGCCGCCCTCCGAAACGTTGCAACAAGGCAGAGTGAAGCAGGACCAAGTCGGCCTGAATTAAGGATAAAAGAATCAACAACTACAGCTCACTTACCGGTCACGGCCCGCTCCTTGCCAAGCCGGCTTCGCTAGATCTCCTTGCCAAGCCGGCTTCGCTAGACCGGTCACGGCCCGCTCCTTGCCAAGCCGGCTTGGCTAGATGTCCTTGCCAAGCCGGCTTTACAAGGAAGCCCATTTTCACACTTTGAATCTAGCTGTTGGATTCCGTCCCAAACGCTGCGAGAGGGACAGCATCCAACAGCTCGTTTCAAAGTGTCAAAAACCCACTCCTTGCGAAGCCGGCTTTGCTAGATGACCTTGCCAAGCCGGCTTCGCTAGATGACCTTGCCAAGCCGGCTTCGCTAGACCGGTCACGGCCCTGTCCTTACCAAGCCGGCTTCGCTAGATGTCCTTGCCAAGCCGGCTTCGCTAGACCGGTCACGGCCCTGTCCTTGCCAAGCCAGCTTCGCTAGATGACCTTGCCAAGCCGGCCTCGCTAGACCGGTCACGGAACACTCCTTGCAAAGCTGGCTTTGCTAGGTGAGCACAAGGATCATCACCTGATGATCGTGGCTATAACCCCCTTACCTAGCCCTAACCCTTAGCCCTAACCTTAACCACTTGACCTTCTGACCTAAACCTAACCAATCAGGACATTATAATTACGGTAATTGATACACACTCAGTGTTAATTTCAAACTGATCTGGCACTACAATTAATTTATGTTAAAAACTACAAAATGACTGCCCACTAGGGGCGCCACTGGAGGATTTCTCACTTCCCAGGTGGTGGGAGGGGTCAAGGGTCATAGAGGTTGCTGACTTCCTGTCCCGCTCTCAGACCTTGTTTTCGCTCGTCTTTGGACAACAGAACTCAAGGCACAGTAAGAATTTATGCCTGAAGAAGGTCTTTTTAAAGACCGAAACGTTGCATTCTTGCGAGATTATTATATATATATTTTTTCATTATTATTATAATAATAAAGCCTTGCAAACGGACCATCACGACTCGCTTTTTTACTTTTTCACTGTTTAGCTTAGTTTTGAAGTGCTAGCTAGCTGTCTTCCCGACACTGCCACACACTGAAAAACCTGCTGAACACCGCAAACATGACGCACCGAGGAGAGGAGGACTGGACGCGGGTCCACTACCGACGCGGACGGATGCAGCAGCGGGGCCGCTCGCCACCTTCGCGGGTAAGAGAGAGCCCGTATTCCCGCCGCTACCACGAGCCGCGGCAGCCTCCCCGCTCCTACGCAGCGGCCGTCAGGGCCCCGCCAGCTACGCGGACCTACCGCCGCGAGCCCCCGCGCCGAGAGGACCATCGCGGACCGCCAGTCCATCACCGCCGCGGACCTCCACCGGTCCGAACCAGGACCGACTTCTCCAGACGCAGCAACAGGTACGAGGGGTTCAATAGAGCGACCCGAGGGCAACGCGGCACAGGCGACCCTCCGCCGTCTGACCCAGACTTTACCTTAAGAACCAGAGTGGTCTACAGACTGATCAAAGCTAAACACCACCTTAGCAATGTCATGGCACCAGAACCACCCAACTCCATCACTAAGATGACCCACAATCTGGCCACTGTTATCAAACCGGCGGCTCCAAACGCCACGACCCTGTCACTCATTGACGGTAATGCCAGAAACTGGGCTTACAACACACTGCTGATACTCAGAGACCACTACAGGGACTGCATTCAGACGGACCTGCAGATATTGGTACAGTTAGAAGTGACTGACTGGCGAGAGAACTTTGAGGTGGCCTCGGCCTGGGCCAGACGCCATTTTGGGCGCAGACTGCACCGAGATACGCTGGATGACACACAGGTGCTCCTGATCCAGCGCCTCTCCAGAGCCCCACCGGCTCACGCCGAGCCTGGCCCGCCAGCCCACCCTCCCGCAGCAGCACACGCAGTAGTAGTGGACCCGACCTTAACGGTGGCCAGCATCACACAGACCGACAACGCACAGCCCCACACACACACACACAGACTCAGACGGCGACAGCTCTGCCCCCCGGGCCGGTTGGCATTCAACCTGGGACTGCTCAGACTCTACGGCCACCGGTGGACCCACCTTCTACGCCGGCGGCTCCGCCGCCCACACCAGCGGCTCCAGAACCTGCTCAACCACCTGCCGCCACCCAGCCTCCACACCGGCCGCCTGCAGCGCAGGGGAACCCAGCGCCGGCGCGTCAGCTCAGCGTGACAGCGGAGGTACACGCCCCACCTGCAGTGGACCTCCTCCTGCCAGACATCTCAACACCGGCCGGACCGTGTCTCCTCTCCAAGGCCACGATGACAGAGCAGAGGACGGACGGGCCCACGGATCCTCAGTCTCCTCCTTTCCTCCCTTCTCTCCCTCCTGACTTTCTCTCCTCTCCCCTCACCTGTCTGTCTGCACCTGTCCTCCCTCCCTCTCTCTCTCCTTCCTCTGGGATCGTCCCAGACACGCAGCTGGAGCCCAAGGAGCAGAGACCCAAGCGCACCGCGAGGCGCCGGAGCGAGGCCCCCAGCTCTCCTCAGCCTCCAGCTCCTCCTGAGGACCCCAGCACCACGGCCACGGCCGACGAGGTAATCGTGGTTGAGGCATCTCCGCAGGTAGCACCGCTGCCTCCCGCTCCAAAAACTGCTTTGGGGCCTGTTCAAAGACAGCTGACCTTTGACCCACCTGCAGCTGCTGCTGCAACAGCAGCAAACACACCAGTACGTCGCCCCACACGACACATTAACACCAGCAGGAAAATGAAAGAGTGGTGCCTGTCAGCCAGGAGCAAGTGGCTGATCATTGGGGATTCAAATGTTGCCAGGTTTCCCCCTTTCCAGTGCCCTGACCTGCAAATAGACAGCTTCCCTGGGGCCACGTTCAGGCACGCAGAAGCCATTTTGGCTAGGACCAATGTGTCTGCAAACATTGAAAAACTGGTGCTCTCTTTTGGGGTCAACAACAGGGCACAAAAAACAATGACCACTGTTAAACAAGTTCAGAGAGCAATCAGGATGGCGAAGCTGGCTTTTCCCCAGGCCACAGTCATGGTGCCGGAGATTAATTTCTCCAGACACCTACCTCACGCAGAGCAGGAGAACCTCAGACAGCTTAATCAGTACATTACTAACAATCAGCTGTTTCTCCCTGCTCTCTCAAGGAACGACTTCACCACCGAGAGAGACGGCATCCACTGGTCTCACTCCACGGCCCAGCACATGCTGGACCACTGGCTGGAGTCGTTAAAGTAGCTACCCCCGTGAACACACGTCCTCAGACGGGGGGGAAAAATGTTATTAACCTGTCCAAATGTTTTGTTTTGTCTGCAGCCCAGTTTGCTCTACTTAGCAGGGGACTGAACTTCATCCCAACGACCAGCAGCGACCCAAATCTCAAAAAACAAATCCGATTTGACCTACAACAGTACCACAGACGACTGAAATTGGCAACCTACTTTGAGCACAGGCCTGACACACAACGACCACTCTTCACCCCCAAGTCCCAGTGGGTCCCCCTAAAGGTAAACTACCCCCAGACATTGACGCACTTATCCAGACAGACTTGCACTACTTCCAAGACCAATTCAGATTCGGCTGGGTTAAACAAAATTTGAATAAATTTGAATTTGAAGCATTAGAACAATTAAGACGGAATAAGGACATTGTGATTAAACCAGCAGACAAGGGCAGCGTAGTAATTATTATGGACAGGGAACAGTACCTATGGGAGGGCTACAGACAGCTACATGACACGACCTACTACTCCAAACTAAAGAAGCCCATCTACAAGGACACCACTCCACTGACGGACAAGATTATACAATCACTCCAAGACAAGAAATTCATCAACCACAAACAGACTCTATACCTCAAGGGGGACAGCGAACCTCGACCCAGACTGTTTTACATGCTGCCTAAAATACACAAGGACCCTGCTAAGTGGAGCAAACCTCATGAGATCCCTCCAGGACGTCCCATTGTGTCCGATTGCAGCAGTGAGACGTATTATACAGCTGAGTTTATTGATCATTTTCTTAATCCTCTCTCGATCAGGCATGCCAGTTACATCAAAGACACGTATGATTTCGTAAACAGAATTAAACAAATTAACATCCCCCTGAATGCCTTCCTCTTCACCATGGACATTGACAGCCTATACACAAACATTGTAATCCCAGAAGGCATTCAAGCAGTAAAAAACATATTCCAAAATACCCAGACGCCAAAAGACCCGACAGAGAATTATTGCAACTTTTAGAGATCAATTTGACCAGAAACGACTTTGAATTCAATGGACAATTTTTCCTCCAAATTAAGGGCACGGCCATGGGAAAGAAATTTGCGCCCGCGTATGCCAATATTTTCATGGCAGAGTGGGAAGCGGCTGCCTTAAATTCCTGCCCCAAAAAACCCCTCTATTACTACAGGTTTCTGGATGACATATGGGGGGTCTGGCCCTTTTCAAGAGAGGATTTTGACCAATTAGTTCATATTTTGAATCACCACAATCCTGCAATCAAACTCAAATATTGTATTGATTTTTTTGGATACCACTACCTTTAAGGGTCCCACATTCACCCAGACTGCTAGACTTGACCTCAAGGTGTTTTTTAAGCAAACCGACACACATGCTCTTCTGCATAAGTCCAGTTTCCACCCAAAACACACTTTTGCAGGTTTAATCAAGTCTCAGCTGCTGAGGTTTCACAGAATCTGCACTGATAGTTTGGGAAGAAAGCTGCTCTGCAGTCTGATGGTGCGGCAGCAGAAACTGATATATCTCTTCCCTGAAGGCAGCAGGGTGAACAGGCTGTGGCTGGGTACTGTCCTTTAGTACCCTTTGGCCTCTGTGTAGGCACCTCACCGATATCACTGATGCTCGAAAGATGGGTACCAATGATCTTCTGAGCAGTTTGAATCACCCGCTGCAGAGCCCTCCGGTCCTGGGCCGTGCACATCCCATGCCAGTTTTTGATGTTTCCAGTCAGGATTCTTTCTATTGCTCCTTTGTAAAAGCTGACAAGATCTTCGCGTGGGAATTTGGCCTTCCTAAGTTTCCTCAAGAAATCCAGTCGTTTCTGAGCTTTTTTCACCAGCGTGGAGATGTGAGACGACCATGACAGGTTCACTGTCATGCTGATTCCCATGACCCTGAAACTTTTCACCTACTCCTCCTTAGCTTCACTGATGGAGACAGGAGTGTCTCCTTGGTTTTGCTGACGTTGAGCAGTAGATTGTTCTCTGAGCACCACTCTGCAAGATTATCAGTTTCCTCCCAATATGAAGTCTCATCGTTGTTTGAAATCGGGCCGGTGGTGTCATCCGCAAACTTTAGAACAGAGTTCTCTCCATGTCGGGGGATGCAGTCATGGGTACAAGGGCGTCACCTTGAGTTGAAAAGTGGTGGGGACATTTATGTGCTCATATTAGGTGTGTGAACAAAAATCATGTGGTAACAATTTCAGAACATAAAAATATCAAATATAATAATTATAATACAGTAGCTTTTTGTTTTTAATCCTAAGTTACTATGTTTGGACAAGTCAGATCTCTTTCTTCTATATTTACATTGCATTTCATGTTTTCCTATTGTTCAAGTCAACCTTTCTCATAGATATTTTATTTCTCATTTAACAATCCTGTTGCAAGCTAATTTTTTATAAAACTCTTAGCAAATGCTTTCAAACAGTGGTGGGGACAAAATCAGCCATTTCCAAAAGTGGTGGGGACATGTCACACAGCCCTGGGGGGCTCCGGTGTTGACATTAGTGCATGTTTAATTACATTCTTAAAGGACACGGGATTAGCAGAAATCATAATTTTATTTTTGGTTTTGTTATTGATTTGTTTGGTTTTTACTTTTGTGTTTTTAAATCTCGGCCTACACTCCAGTACAGTAGGGGGCGGTAATGCACCATTTAAGTTGTATGCCAACCGTCGTTTCACAACGAAGAAGAAGAAGCAGAACCTTTGCCAGTCGTTGCTGCACGGACTCATATTCAGCTCGGACAGCATTACAATCGGCTTCTGTTTGATTATTTTCCAGCGTTAAAATCATCGTAAAAATATCTCGCCGCTTGGTTTCTTTGCGGTTTTAAATTGTTATTTTTCGGTGAACTGAAACGTTAACGGACGCTCGGTGAGAGTCGGGCGTCGTTAACGGAAAAGGCCGAACACGGTGAATCGCTAACATGCTACGTGTACAGTAACGGTTAGTTAGCTTGCCCGAGGGAGGCAGTTGGTTATAACAGACATGGATCCAGAGCGAACCGGTTCGAGACGTGGATTTTTAACTTTTTAATGTTTACTTAGTAAATGTACAAGCTGTGAAGTTGAGCCGTGGTCGAAGAGTTCGCCTGCGGGACTGGCGGGTGTCTGAGAAAGGATGGAGGAGTGAAGAACAACACGGCTGCTCCTGGCGTTGGTAGTTTGAGAAGTTCTGTGGTTTGTTTTATTTACTAAGCCGGACTGAAACGAGGCAGCTGAGAGGCTGTAAAGATGATGTACTCATCCAGAAGAAAGCCCGTCCTCTACTTCAAAGAGGAGAGGAGGTAAGATTGGTGTTAGTTTTCTTTCTGTTGATTTTAAAGTGATGTTAATGGCAGCCATAACTTAGCTGCTGCTGTCACCAACACTTTGTTCCTGTTAAAAACCCAAGTGTTAAAGTGACGTGTGAAACTAACAGTAACGCTCTTTCTTGGCCCTTCAAGAAATGAGATCTCTCAAGTTCCCCATCCGGAGGAGAAGTGAGTACTGCAGTTTGGTGCTTCAACCAGTGGTTCCCAAACTGTGGTCCAGGGACATTAAAAGGCCGGCTGAAGTCATTCCTGCCAGGTCTTTTAATTTAAGTTTATTCCAAATTCAAATGGAGATTAAAGTTTCCCAAGTACCCAAATCTGCCAGGCTAAATGCAAAATGACTAGCGGTGGGAATCGCAGGGTACCTCACCAGGGCTCAATGTTACACTTTTTTTTCAACAGGTCCCACCAGGCCAGTGGGTTTGACACTTACTGGCCCGAAGACAATTTTTACTAGCCTTCCTTCCAAAAGTTATAACAAAACCAAATACTTATAAGTTATGTTATACTGTTAACATGTTTAATCACATGTTTAATCGGTTATTAAATATATCCTGGATATAAAAAAACTAAAATGTAATCACAGTTAAAGTTATAAAAACAGAACAATTTACTTTAAAAATAAAACATACTAATGGAATCAAACATGACATGCTCTCTCACCTGCTGACAGCCATTCCATTAAAAAAAATGTACAGAGAGCAGAGGATAAAAGTCACTTCTATCCTGATTGGTCGCCATGGTAGCGACCTGTCAATAACAAGGTAGCCCCGCCCTAAAGCATATACGCTGCATTATTGCCTATTTCCCCTCTAAATGGGACCATAATTTACTAAATGAACATCATGCTGTGTTGAAGAAGACTTGAAACTAGCGACTGAGACCAGAAACTCATCAGGAAAGTGTTTACTGAGGGAATAAATCAGCTGACAAGTAGAAACATTTTCTCAGATGTCTATACAATCAGGTTTAAAGCCCCCCTCCAGTGTATTTTGACATTTCTATGATATTTCATATTTTTCTGAATCATTTCCTTACAATGTTGATTACCCACATAGTTCACCAAATATTTTTTGACAAATAGCTTAATTTTGTGATCAAAGTTGCTTAGTTGTTAAAATGGGGTTGACGTATGACAATAGTCATTTCATACGTCATTCTCCAAGCTTGCGCAGGCGCACTGTCAAAACACTGTCACGCCTCATTAAGTCAGAGCATCAAACCGATAAACATTATTGTGAGCTAGCTAATCAATTTATCATGTCATTTACTTACGGTAGGTATGTCTCTCTGTGTCTGATGGCCGTTTTTGTCTTTCTAGTTTAGTTAGCTAAGTTGTAGTTAGCCAGGTGTAGTTAGCTAACATAGTTATTGCAGAAAGTTGGCTAACAGAGGGTCTTCATTTTATTTTTTAATTTCCTCCTCTTGGTTTAGTGTGCTGTTCATTTTCATTATGGCATTTGTGTGTGCGGTGGACAGATGACAGAAAACGCATCACACTTTCACTTGCCACCGTCTTATATACAGTCTGCAACATGCATTTTACTGACGGCCGTTTTACCAATGCAGCGGCGGAGGCAACGGTATCAGAAGTCAGTTCAACAGAGTAATAGACCACCCACACCCCCGCGTTAAAGTAAGCGCACTATAAAACGTAGTGGGAGTTATCATGTGCAGTGCATGGCAGGACTATCGACTGTATGATTGATAACAGCTGATACGCGCACATTAGTTTCTATCATGGGTAAGTAATAGCTACTCCTGCCAGAGAGTGAAGTGTACTAAACTTTACAGTGTAGTGATGTTAACACAGCATATCGTTAGTGAACACTCCAGCCGCTCAGTTGTCATGGTAATGTATTATGTCCGACTATTAACCACACCGCCTTTCTCTGTCTTAGAACGTTCATCAAAAACAGCAGTTAAAACTGGCGGGAGGGGGCTTTAAGTGCCGTCTGCATGGTTTCACTTTCAGACCGCTTGATTGACATTAGAGAAATAACATTTGACAGCCACTTGTAACTACAAATTACAGGTCATTTGAAGTTTAGCTAACTGATGAGTTTCATCTGGCTTGATCGATAGATATAACTGAGTATCATCTGCATAACAATGAAAGTTTATGGAATATCTCCTGATAATATTGCCTAAAGTAAGCATATATAAAGTGAAGAGGATTGGTCCGAGGACAGATCCTTGAGGAACTCCATGACTAACTTTGGCGTGCATGGAGGACTCATCGTTAACATGTACAAACTGAAATTGATCTGATAAATAGGACTTAAACCAGCTTAGAGCCGTTCCTTTAATGCCAATGAAATGTTCCAGTCTCTGCAATAGGATCTGATGGTCAATGGTATCAAATGCAGCACTAAGATCTAATAAAACCAGTACAGAGACAAGTCCTTTGTCTGATGCAATAAGGAGGTCATTAGTAATTGTCACCAGAGCTGTCTCTGTGCTATGATGAGCTCTAAATCCTACAACAAACTTTGTTCATCCAAGAACCATTAAATCAGATTAAATTATGTTCCATCAGACAGGTTTCACTTGTAGAATAGTCACGGGAAATTAGAAGTTTTCCTTTTGTATACATCAGCAAAAAAATCTTGGGTGGTTGAGCCTATTTGACTTGCTTGACATTGCATTCTTCTGCGATGTGACTATTGCGCAAGGGCACAATGCAATGGCAATGTTAAAACGATATATTGTGCAGCCCTATCTGGAATATTGATACAGTATTATGGAAAAACAATATATTGCTGTATTGATTTATTGTCACACCCCTAAAAACGACATCATAGAGCATCAACCAAGCTCTGCAATATAATAATTCAAATCTTTATTTGTGCAGCACTTTTCATACATAAAATGCTCAGTGTTTTACATTCACAAATGTGTGTGTGTGTGTGTGTGTGTGTGTGTACACACACGAGTAACGAATAAATTAAGCATAAAATACAGCAGCATGCACTTACGCCACAAGCACAAAACACCGCTATTAAAACTGGAAAAGGGTTGCAGAGACTGCTATAAAATCAAATAAAAACAAACAAAACTTTTTACTGTTCAATACTTGATGCATTTAGCAGACTGGCACCAGAGGACCTGAGTGAGCGAGTTGGCATATAAACAGATAAAAGGTCAGTTACAGAACATGTGCTAAAGTAAAAGAACTTTAAAATCAATTCTAAATGCTACAGGAAGCCTTTGTAGAGAAGCTAAAACAGAATGAACGCTCTCATTCGGTTTTTAGTTAAAGCTCTTGCTGCCGTATTTTATATTAGTTGCAGCCTGTAAATATATATTTTTTTGGGTAGACCAGTAACTAGTGCATTACAGTAGTCCAAACATGAGAAAACAAAAGCAGGGAAGAACGTTTTGGCATCTTACAACGCAAGGAAGGGTCAAAATGATGCACAGTAAACACACCTGAAAGCTACTCAGAGGGTTGTTTCTGTATATTTAAGCCTGGTCCCTGTTTCCACGTATGTTGGTGTTGAAATGACTCGTAGCTACAGAAAGGGTTGGATCTGTGCAGTAGATGCTTCAGCCGGCAGCTGAACAGGCTGCAGTGGCTGCAGCGTATTCCTGTGTGAAAATGGCGTCCACAGAAAGTGCTTCTTGTTACCAGCGACAGGCTTGGACTGTTTAAACCAGGTGTCTTCCAACATCATGGAAAGGATCCCTACGAGGAACTCCAGGTGAGGCCCTTCTGAAATCTCATGAGAGGTGAGATGTTGAAGGAAGACGCCGGTGGAAACGTGGGTCAGAGTCCAAGGAGCTCTTCATCTGGAGACTGTGGCTCCAATAAATACGGACCATCAAATTCAAATGACTCCTCTACGCTGTCAAACAAAGGGGGTCACCAGGAGTCCCTCGTAGGGATCCTTTCCATGATGTCAGACACATGGTTTAACAGTCTGAGCCTGTCACTGGCAACAAGAAGCACTTTATGTGGACGCCAGATTGACACGCACAATCGCCTACAAGCTGTTTCAACTTCCGGCTGAAGCATCTACTGCACAGATTCAAAACATTCTGTACCTGAGTCATTTCAACACCAACATCCTCTAAAGATCCCCTCCAGACATGTATTAAAATATCTATACAAATGGTCTTTAAAAGGGCACCTGCTCCTTCTAATAATCTATAAATATGTCAACATTAAATATTAACATTTAGTAGTTTGGTGGGTTCTTCATGTGAAGGTATTTCCTGCAGATCCAGTGTAGCCTGATGGCAGAACATCAGCTCCTGATGTTCTGTTAGTGTTTCACACCTGGCAACATTTTGTCAACACAGACAGGAGGAGGCAACAGGATGTAACGGTAAATGTTCAGTGACTGAAGGTCTGCAGGGGACGACGCTCTCCCAAGCTGGGGTCAGCGCAAAAGTTCAACTACGCAGACCGCGGCGTGTGCCAGGCGTGGCGCAAGACATTGAAAATAATGGGCCTCAGTGCAGTGTTGCGGTGGCTCTGAAAGGTTGCACCTGTTTTGTTTGGTTACGTTGCACTGAAAGCTCGACTCACCGCTACTTCATCAATTGTAAGTGACATGTTTATATTTAATTCTTAACAACCTGCCACGTTATTTAACTCCGTTATTATGTATTACCTTTACTTGGGTGTCCCGCAGGTGCTGCATCAAGTTTAATATAGGTATTTGTTCCTTTAGCAGCAACCTTTCAACGGCAAGTTTTTGAACAGGTGATCCGTCACGCCCGGGTCAGACTTGGTGTACCCGAAATGCACCCAAACTGCTGCCTTCAGTCGTTTCTTTGGTGGAAATAAAACTTGAGAGTTTAGCCGGTGTGCAGTAGAAGCCTCCATGTCTCTGATATGCACGGCACTTGGAGCTGGTGCACCGCTGCTGTAGCTTTGTTTTCGTTTTGTGCAAGTTGCCACAGCTTCTTTTTGTGCAAGAGAAACACTCGGTGTAGCGGAGCCTTTACGATTAATTAACGGTGATGTTTTTAAATCGTGATTAAAAGGAAAATCTGGTAATCGCTGCATCCCTACTGTAGGGCTGGGTATAGTTTGGAAAAAGTTCAATAATAGTTTTAATACAATAACTGAGTTACGCTGTGGATACTGAAACGGTACACTTTTTTTGATACCTTACTTTAAAAAAAACACACAAACGTCACTGACTGACAAAAGCCAAAAGTTGTCAAACGTTTTCGAAACACAAGCAGTCGTGCATGAACTTTTAATAAACTGCCGTCTAAAACTGGCAAAACCTGATGATGCTGTACTCGGTGGGGGTCGTTTCTCTTTACGTATTATGACACGCAGTTTGGGAACCTCTGCTGCCAGCTTGTTCAGTTTGTCGCCTGGTTTGTCTTCATCAAACACTGGCTGACTGTGTTGCATGACTGACAGGAAGTTTAAACCCTCTGGCTGCTGCAGGTCTTGTGCATTAAGAAGAGGACTGATAACGAGGATATGGAGTGTATGCGAGAGCTGTCACTATATTTCCAGACTCTGCCTATTTAAACAACCCATATGTGCAGGTGGTGAGAAGACAGATCTGCGCTCTGTCGTGTTCCCTGCGGCCATTTTACACACAAACTAAATCGGCGCTCCGCTGTTGCCGGAGGCGGGGAATATGATACTGTGACAGCAATGATTGAGCAGAATTTGATTTGGCTGATATCTTTTAAAATTGAAAGGTGCTTCTGGAATAGTATTGGCTCACAAGCACATGGAACACTGCTGGTTTGAATGGTTATGATATTGAGGATCTACAATTAATGTGTGAAATGAAGTGAATTGTCCTAAATATGACAGAACATGGTGACAAATATCATTCACACGTTCCCAGAGCTCAAGGTGACGTCTTCAGATGTCTTGATTTGTCCAAAACCAAAGGATATTTAGTTTACAATGATTTAAAAAAAGAGATGCTGCTGCAAGAGCATGGTTTGTAGTGTTCTTGCTAAATAACTAAAATTATGAATTGATTATAAAAATTGGCACTTTTCTGCCGATCAACTAATCTAATAATCGACTAAAAAGATTATATGAAAATATGATTCCGCATGAAAAAAATTAAATGTTTGTGTTGAGGAGAAACGAGAGAATGAAAAACAAAACGGACGTTTGAGGCTTGTTCATTGTGTGCCGCTTTAACTGCATGGAGGTTTGTGAGCAGTTAAATGATCAGATGTTCACCCACAATCCTCTGCGATTCTGGGGTTGTTTCTAGAGGCTAAAACTGCCTGGAGCTGCTTTTAGTTTATTACAGTTTTATTTTGGTATCTCCATGTATTTCACACAAATTAGAGTTCCAGTAAATTAATACATCTTTTTTCATCATTTAATGTTTATAATACAGGTGTGACCCCCACGAGGAGAAGACTTCTTTCAATGTTTATTACTCAGTGCAGCTTGTCATAAGTCTGTGTTGTCTTATATATTTAATAATTACATTTAATTTGTAGCTAAGCTTGCTGCTAAACTGTGGAAGGAGATGCTAACTTGCGTTTCAACACGTGGTCTGTGTGTTCACAGGTTCCTGTCGGGTAAATGCACGGTATACAAGCTGTTCGGCCTCTGCATGGTGCTGCTGTTCGTCTCTCTGTTCTGGCTGCAGTTCAGCTGTTCGGGTGACATGTCCGCCACCATGCATGAAGACAGACTCCTCCACCAGCAGCCGCCGCCCTGCCCGGGGGACGTTCAGGCGTCTGCAGCGGACGACCCCTCCTGGGGTCCTCACAAACTGGCGCTCATCGTCCCCTTCAGAGAACGCTTCGAGGAGCTGCTGGTGTTTGTTCCCTTCATGCACACGTTCCTCAGTAAGAAGAAGATCCGCCACAAGATCCTCGTCATCAACCAGGTGGATCACTACAGGTGAGGGATGACTACAGGTGGGAGATCTCCTTCAGCAGCACCTTCCTTTAGAACTTTAGCACAACATGAATATAACTAAACATTACAGGGAGCTTACTGTAATGTTAATGTTGAGCTCACAGCAGGAAAAAGTGGGGCTCTGATGTCTCTTCAGCTCTTTCCTCTGTTGTTGTTAGTTCAGAGTTAGTTTAACATCATTGGAGGGAAGGCATTAGCTCAGTCTTCAGCACAATGGCTGCCAACTGCTTCTAATTAGGACGGGTTAAATGTAGATAACTAACACATTTCCCCTTGGGGAACAATAAGAATAAGGGAGTATAAATATTGTCTTAAATTGAATGATAAGCATTACGAGTGAGCAGTGATAAGATTTTAGTTAAATGATTAATGAGCATCTAATAAGTACATTTAAAAGCAATAATATAATTTTGCTTCAAATTTCACTCTGGTCTCTTCTTTAAATTTGTGTTTGACATAATACCTTATTATCTCAATTAAAAGGACGGAAACAAATGAATATGTGGCACGAAAGGCACTTTATTATTTTGGCTGGTAAAAAATATGTTCGTGGATGTTTTCATTGGCAGGTGACCCAAAAAGTTCACCCCTGCTGCTTTGCTCTGAATCTAAAAGCCATAGTTTACAGAGAGGTTTGTCTCCTGTTGTTTCAGATTTAACAGAGCATCTCTGATCAACGTGGGTCACCAGGAGAGCGGTAACGACACAGACTACCTGGCGATGCACGACGTGGACCTGTTGCCTTTGAACGAAGCTCTGGACTACGGTTTCCCCGAGGACGGACCTTTCCACGTGGCCTCGCCCGAGCTGCACCCGCTGTACCACTACAAGACCTACGTAGGAGGAATCCTGCTGCTCACCAAGAAGCATTACCACATGGTACTGAGCTGCTTGCAGATTATGAATGCTGTTAAACCTCAGTGACCTGAAGGTTTGTCAGCCAGGAACAACTTGCGCTGTCCAGCCTATTTCACTCAGGGCAAACATTATGTAGATTCTATGAATAGCTGCAGCTGATTAACAGCACGGTATGAAAATATTAACCTTGAAAGTTAAAAATGGAAAAATTAAAAGGCAAAACTGGATTTTTGTTGTCCTCTTCCACCGCAGGAACTCAACTAAATGATGTAGTACAGGTTCTGCTCGTTTCCATTTGTTCATGTACTTTCAGGGGTCAGCGGCAATGCTGATCGTGATTGGTGAAGCAGGTGGGATGGCTACGACAAACACAATGTCTGGTAGAGAGTTTTGAAGGAGCACACAGCCAAACGGTGGTGGTGTAACAGGAGACACATAAAGTAGCATAATGCTGCAGTGGACCTAACCGAAAAAGACAGAGTGGTTTGTTTCTGCCCATACCTGACAGAACTGTTCAGGTGGTCTGGGCCCTAATGGTCGTGTAAGATGTGCAGCAAAGGCTTTGGCGAGATATCTGCAAAAAGATCCCGGTTTGTACAGAACCGTGGAAACACAATGAACAAGCTAAAGGATCCCCAAAGTTCTTTAAAGTTCAGATTATGGGAAGCCCCAGATCACACGAGGTTAAGTTTCTGCTGTGGAAAAGGCCTCTCTGACATTGTCCAGGTCTTTTTTACAACACAGTCATGTAATGGTTTCAATTGTCCACCAGATGAAGCTGTGGTTCAGTCTCCAAATGTCTCGGTGCAGGACAGGGATTGTTTTTTGCATTTTGACAGTTTTCAGCCTCTGACAAAAGAGATTACGTTGATTCCGACTTTATTTGCTCAGAAGCAGGAAATAAAATGGTTTATTGTCCGTTTCCTTTATTGCAGTGTAACGGGATGTCAAACCGGTTCTGGGGTTGGGGCAGAGAAGACGACGAGTTCTACAGAAGACTGAGAAAAGCTGAGTTACAGGTAAAATTTTCAAGAGAACAGTGAGTAATCAGTGTCACCAGGACCATGTTTGGATTCTTAGCTTTTAAAAATGTTATTAAATTGGTGAGTCAGTTATCAGAATTATCATTATTAATTGTTTATTTTTTATTTCATCTATGTGATCAATCAGATGAATATGATGGATACGTGTCCCGGCTTCTGTTCATTCTTTGGTGGTGGTTGTTTTTCTCTGCAGCTCTTCAGACCGAGTGGAATCACAACGGGATATAAAACCTTCCTCCACATCCACGACCCGGCCTGGAGAAAGAGAGACCAGAAGAGGGTCGCAAGTCAGAAACAGGTACAAGACTTTCATCATTACAGTGAACGGTTCACAAATAACATAATGTTTACCTGAGGAGAAACTGCTCACCCACAAACAACTTGCATCCGTTACTATGGAGAGTAGATGTCTTTTGTAATGCTTTATAAAATCTAGTTAATATCTAGCAGGCAGCAGTGGTTTAATGGAAAGATCCCCACGTGGAAGAGTAACAAAAACATAAGTAAAGTTTTTTTCTTGTTCTTCTCAACCTCAGATCTCCTGAGACTGCTTTTCTGCTCAGTAAAAAAAATCATCTTTGACTTTAATTGTATCTGTATTTAATAGGCTTTCAAAAGGTTTCATGAACCAAAGAGGTTATAAAATTTTATCAACTACAACTGGGCAGCTGTGGCTCAGGAGTTAGAGCGGGTAGCCCATAAATCGAAGGTCGGCACTTCAATCCCAGGCTGCATGTCGAAGTGTCCTTGGGCAAGATACTGAACCTGCCCCTGGCGGCTGTTCCGCCTGCGTGTGAATGTTAGTTTCTGTTTGAGCACTTAGGCTCAGTGTATGAATGTGTGTGACTGGTGAATGCAGATATGGTGTAAAAGCGCGAGTCGAAAAGACTAGAAAGGCACTATACAAATACAGAGAATTTACATTTACAACTGTCCGACTGTAACCGCACAGTTTATCATGGATAGCGATGTGCCTGCCCATGGTGCAGGTAGGCAGAAAGAAGCAGCCGTGAGCAGCTCCGGTCAGGCTCTGCAGGTTATTACTGGGAAGGCCCGGACGGCGGTGGAACTTTTACAGTCACAGTGTTGTAGCCAAGCAGGAACCTACGGTTCTTAAAAGGGAAGCTAATGCTTAAGTTCCTTAAACCTTCTTTCTGGCAGCCAGCAGGGGGCGACTCCACTGGCTGCAGAAAGAAGTGTGATTGTATAGAAGTCTGTGAGAAAATGTTTCTACTTCTCAGCTGATTTATTCCCTCAGTAAACACTGAGTTAATGGTCTCAGTCGCTAGTTTCAAGTCTTCTTCAACACAGCATGATGTTCATTTAGTACATTATAGCCCCTTTTCGACTGCATGGAACCGCCTCGACTCGACTCGCCTTTTTTGAGTTTTCCACTGAGGAAAAGTTGTACCTGTATCTGCTGTCAGGTACTTTTTATTTATTTATTTTTTTTGAATCACCTCTGAGGTTCCAAGCGAGCTGAGGCGATACTAAAATGTGACGTGAAAACACAGCAGACTGCAGATTGGTCAGAGAGAATCGTCACTATTCACTGTGTCATCATTGTGTGCGCCTGACAGAGGCCAGCAACAGAAAGTTTAGTATTTTACAATTTTCTTACGTTATTTCATAACTAATTTTGAATATTGACAGTTTTATGAAAAGTGATGGTGGGTTTGCCGAGTTGAGGAGCTGACGGCGGGGGAAGCCTGCACCAACCTGCGGGAGGTTGAGGTGAGGCGAGTTGAGCTGGTAGTGGTAATGAAAAAACGGCATATGGTCCCATTTATTTAGAGGAAAATAGACCATAAAGCAGGGGAGGCTTCAGGGCGGGGCTACCTTGTGACCAGGGCGACCCGTCAGTCAGGATACAGGCGACTGTGACGTATCTGCTGCTCTGTGTACATTTAACCAGCACCGTTGAAAAAATCTCATTAGGAGTCGGCTGCTCATTTTTCTGGTAAACACATTTTGTTTGATGTCTGTTTGTTGCTAGGATGAATAACGGATGCACCTTTCTAACCAAACTAGCTAGCGCGTCCGTTTCGCCCAAATCTGGTCACGTCTGGTTCCAAAAAACCAAGATGGCGACAACCAAAATGCCAAACTGCTCGAGGCTTCAAAATTATAGAGAGCCTAAGTCCCTCCCCTTTCGTTGGACCACCGTGGGACCTCATTTCGGAAAAATATTAGTCAACGGCAAGGGACAACAAATATTTTGATCCCGTTTGAATTGTGCCCCCCGTGACCCTGTACGCAGGATAAGCGGTTGGCGATGGATGAATTGTGCCCTGAATGACACACATGATGTTTAAAGTCAAGAAAGTCACAGTTTGATGTAAAACGGTTGAGGTATAAGACTGAAAATATATAATTACAAAGACCACAAACCCAGAAGTCGCGTATGTGACGTCGTAACTGTTTCTGTCAATGACTGAAGCTAACGTGACTGAACGTCAAAAAACTTACATGAGAGGATGATGTGATAAAAGGACCAGGAGTCGTTGGATTAAACACATCGGGTGAAATGTATTTCTGCATGGAACATAGCTGAGTTATCTAGCTAGCAGCAACCAAGCAGTAAACGTTAGCTAGCATTACCGCGCTAACATGTCGGTGACATATATGGTGCGAGACGAAAGATGTAGTTCATTGAACGGTTTTCACACAAAACGACATAAAACAGCGACTTTCTTGACTTGCAAAATTATATTTTAAATTGGCAAACATATGTGTAATTCAGGGCTCAGTTCTAACGGGGTCAAAAGATAAGTTGTCTCTCGCCGTTGACTGCTGTACATATTGAAATGTGGTCCTATGGGCCGGAAGCAGAAGCGAGTGACTTAGGCTCTCTATAGTCCACAAACCAACAGGTGACGTTACGGCGCCCACATCCACTTCACACAGACTGTGATTGAATTATTTTATTTTTAAATTAAAAATAAAATATAAAAAAAAATTATAATACTAATTATAATAATATGTCGGCTGAAACTCACAGATCAACTCTCCTGCTCAAAATCTGATCATTCTGTGCCCCTCTCCACCCCCACGACAACACAAACTCCATTATCAACCTTACAAAGTATTAACATCTTGAAAACCATTTGAACCCCCCCCCCCCATTCCTTCCTCCATGCAGGAGCAGTTTAAGGTGGATCCAGAGGGGGGGCTGAGTAACCTGCGTTACCAGGTGGAGTCCAGGCAGGAGCTGACCATCAGCGGCGCTCCCTGCACCGTCATCAACACCAAGCTAGAGTGCGACCAGAACCAGACTCCCTGGTGTCTCCTGGCTTAGAGGACGTACGCAGGACGGGTCCCGTTTGTTCACCTGGAGGCTTTAATGTTCTTTATCAAAGAGTGCAACAGAGACTTTTCAGTAGCACTGACGGATCTGCCGCTGCCCTGCCCTTCCAGATGTGGGGGGGAAATAACGGTACAAACACACACATATTGAACACTGATGAAAGGAAGCGGGACACAAGCTTGTGGTAACGCAGAGCTCAATATCCCCCAGGATCAAACAAACTACCTTTCCCGTATAAACAGGTACATCTCAACAATAAAGCTGCTGTTTTACAAGCCAGGGAACATTTTCCAGTGGATTAAAACCTCGTACTCGTGGCTTCTTACCTGTCAAACTGCTCAGGTCAGTAACAGAACATACTGACGCGAAACGTTTGGTGCCTGACGACGGAGACGGACTGTTAAACCAAACCAGACTAAACTAAAACAGATCAGCCTGGTCGAACCTGAGCTGTTCTGATTGCGTCATCTTTGATTTTGGTACCTGCTGGCATTATGTGAAAGCAAACTTAAACAGTCTATTTTTGTTTTTTGTACTTTGGGATTGTGCAAATGGAGCAGAGGTTATGGAGGGACGGCTACCAACACAGCATGCTGCACCAGAAATGACATACATCTGCCAAACATGCATCACACTGTCATGTTGATTCAGCCTTTTATCCATGTTGGAGATAAATTCTTCAAAAGCAAAAGTATTTCACAAAACTACTAACATCAAAAGAATCTCTCCTGCCGACACTGTTTTTAAAGGAAGTCTGTTGAAACTCTTCGTATCTAACGGGGGAAAGCAGGAAGTGTATTCATTTTACATTAACATTTTTACAGTATGTCCTTCTTTAACAGACGCACACTGAATTCACCAAAGAGAACAAATGATTTCATAATCATGACTTCTGTATCCCGTAATAACGTCCTATGAGTTTGCATTTTGTAATTATGAGAAAACGTCTCCAAATTAATTTTCTTTAGTGAACGCGGTCTGTTTCTGTACTATATAAAGTAAACTGAGCCAAACCAGGCTGAACTGAGCTGAAGCAGGCGCTGAGATTGTTTGTTAAAGGGAGGAACTTTGCCTAAACGATGAGCATGAAACTAAAGGTCAATTTATACATCTGCGTTGAATCTACGGCGAAGCCTGACGTGCAAAATGTTACTAAACATCGCAGCGACGCAGAACTCAAGCATTTCCTCCTACACATTTCCAGCTTATCCTCCTTCCTCATCTGGTACATACAGTCTCCTCCGACACCTTCTCTCATTTCAATAGTAATCTCACTAAAAGTAACTGTGCGGTGTCGATCAGCTCCAACTCTCAACATGATCCGCTCACTTTCAGTCGCCATTGTTTGTAGTAGCCCACACCAATGAAGAAGAAGCCACATTAGAAACCACAGTGCCAACTACTGTTTTGGCAGTGTAACTGCAGAGCGACGCAGACACCAAATGCTCACGATAGTGCGTAGTCTCGACACAGAAAGTATAAATTGGCCTTAAACACAAGCGAACATTTGTTGAAATGATCAGATAATTGAATCCAGCATCGGACGGATTGGTGTCATCTTCAAGAAATATGCCTGCTGTTTTTTGCTCATTATTAAATTCATTCGATTATTCTCTTGACTTTAATGTTTTTGGTCTGTAAATGTGAGACAGCAGTGAATAATGTCCAAGTTCCCAGTGACAAACAAAGCACCACAAGGTAGGCTCACGAGCTGTTCTGGAGCTTTTGATCCCCTGATCTTCCTCAGCAGATGGGAGTGTTTTTGAGCGCGTACATAATAACCAACTAGTAATCTAAACGTTTAAAGTGGCATGGACGGGAAGTCCTGTGAGCGCTCGGGAATAAAAGGCATGATGGCAAGTTGGCAAACTCCTTCATCTGCTGATGAAGATCATGTGAGATGATCAAAAGTTCTAGAACAGCTACTAATGGAGCTTCATCCTTCAAAATGACTTCAAGCAGTCCAACACATGCAGACGTTCAGCTTTCTGTCGTTTAAGACGCATAACTAGTGAAATCCTCACTCCCCAGAAGCTGCAGCTAGATGATTATTGATTGATCGACAAAGCGGATGCAGATTAATTTTCAGTCAATCGACAAATCTATTCAGCAGGTTCCTCCTCAGTCAAGACTTTATTTTAAAAAATGTATATAATTTAAAAATAAAACCCAATGTCTGCAAGCATTTTATCAATCGGCTCTTACAAAAGCATGAAAGAGTTCTTTCAGCCTTTAATCCTCCCCAACAGTGACACTCGGTGTTGGTGAGTGACCATCTTTACCTACTGATCATTTCCTGTTGCACTAGTGATCTAAAAGAGAAGCAAGGTGATGATGACGATAAACATACCTGTAGTCCTGAATTTTCGCTGAACGACCTCAGGCCCAGAGAGAAACCAGATGGGAATGTATTTATTTCTTTGGGAAGTATTTTTTAATGTATTTCTGATTAAAATTTTGTTTTAAATTATTCCTTTTTGTTTTTATAAATTAACTGCTTCATTGACCTTAGATCCACATGTAGAGTGAAAGGCTGCAAAATATAATAAAATATGAGATCTAGTTTAAAAGATGAAAGCGTTAAATGTGTGTAAAGACACGGCTGAAGTTTTAAGTATTTTCATCGTAAAATTTACTTTTAAAGTTATTGTGTCATTTTCTTGTGAATCTGCAGACAGTACTCGGTGCCCTTGCTTCCCACAGTTGGAGCGTACATTTAAAAAGGATATAAAGGCCTTTAAAAGTTGAGAAAAAATTAATGTACAAATTGTTCAGGTGTAAAAAGTTCCATTTTGTTCGTTGGTGGGAAGCTGGTGAGGGATCTCTCTGTTACAGCACATGCTTCAGCTCTCAGAGACGACACATACCCCCCGTCCTGAGGAAAAACTGGAACTGGTTTCATATAATTTTTCCGTGCAATATGCTGAATTTGGCACCCTGAAATACACAAGAGTCATTGAAAAGTCCTTGAAATATATCTTCTCGAGTTCCTCTGAGTCTGTCAGTATAAATGTGACCCTGCAGAAATGGTTCTGTTACAGTGTGGCTTTTAGTTTAATATTCAGAGGGCTGCTGTCGCTGTCTTGTTCTCTGCTGCTGTTATGTACTGGTCAGCCTCCGGATGGCACTCTGGAGTTTTTAAGGGCCATAAGCAATGGTTTCAGACCATCTGTACATTTACAGGCCGTGATGTCATGCTGTTATACTTTTATTTCCCAGACAACGGTACCATGTTTTTGTACAATATTCAGTATTTATATAAAGTCTACAAAAATATCTTGAGGTTGGTTTTTCTTTCACATATCTCGTCAGACTGGATCTGTGTGTTTTTGGTCGTTTAGGAAGCTGCCAGATTACTGCCAGGCCTGTTGAATCAAGAAATCACTTAAATATAACCTGTGTGACAAAATGAAGTATGCTAAAAGATCTCAAAAAGCAAGACATCATCCCACAAGCTAAAGAAATTCAAGAACGGATGAGAAGCAAAGCTGTTGATATCTATCAGTCTGGAAAGGGTTACAAAGCCATTTCTGCGGCTTGGGGACCAGCCAGGCCAGCGAACCACAGTGAGGGCTATTATCCACAAATGGAGAAAACTTGGAACAGCGGAGAACCTTCCCAGCAGTGCACTATTACTCCAGTCCATCGACAACTCATCCAGAAGGTCCCGAAAAAACCTAGAACATCATCTAAAGATCTGCAGGCTTCACTTGCCTCAGTTAAGGTCAGTGTTCATGATTCAACAATCAGAAAGATGCCGGGCCTAAATGGCATCCATGGGACAATTCCAAGGCGAAAACCACTGCTGAGCACTCGTCTCACATTTCTCAAAAAAACATCTTAGTGGTCCCCAAGACTGTTGGGGCACTATTTTGGGGACTGACCAGACAAAAGTTGAACTTTCTGGAAGATGTGCGTCCCATTACATCTGATTGCATCAAAGACTCATTGCCAGTTATTGCAAAGTCTTGATTGCAGTTGTTGTCACCAAGGGTGGCACAACCCGTTATTGGGTTTGGGGGGGCAATTACTTTTTCACATAAGGATAGGTTTTTGTCCCTTAATAAATTAGATCTGACTGAAGACTGCATCTGGTGATCTGAAACATTTTAGTGTGACAAATATGCAACAAGCAAAGAAATCAGGGAGCGGACAAATACTTTTTCACAGCACTGTAGATATTGCTGGATCTAAAATATTTCATATTTCATTTGTTGTTTGTAAGGTCTTCCCCTGGACGGTTTTGAATATTTAAGAAGGGACTTGTGAAGTTTTTTTTCACACTAATATTGCATTTGGTGGAAACGTTGCAGATGCCTGTTGTGTCAGAAAGAGGTAAAAGAGATGATCTAAGATTGTGAATGACCTCTCCTCTAGGAGGAAATCAACCAGGTTTATTAAATCTGGAGGGTTAATCCTTAGGATTGGTTATCATTTAAATGTATTGATTCTGATTCTGCTTATGGAATCTGGTTCTTCTGGATCCTCGGTTCTGGTTCCTTCCCCACAGATCTTGTCAGCGCTCAGTGACCTACGTCCTCTTCCTCCTTGCTCATCTTCTGCTTCATGGCTAAAGTGAAAGGAGTCTCTGTACTAGAGGGGCATCCCTGGGGACTCGTTTCTAAGAAAATATATATTTTGAATCATTGGGAGACCTGTGGCCTGTTCCAGTAAGGGAGTTCAACCTACTCAGTTAACTCGGGGTTATCAGGCAAACTCAGGGTTGACAAAGTCTGACCGCCTACTAAGCCTGAACAATTAATTGCATGTGTGATATTATCGCGATGTGATAAAATGAGATTTTCAGATCGCAAAGGCTGCGATTACACTCTGGTCACATGACACCCAAGAGTAAAGCGGTCTGCAGAGAAGCATCAACTTCGCTGCACCTTGCCTTGTTGTTGTACAACGGCCTTCAGCTTGACAGAAGCTTCTAAGCTTGTCTATTAAACACGAGAGGCGTCACTGTTTTATTTTCGCTGGCCAACTTTTGAATTGAACCTCAAACTGAGTTTTTATTTATTTATTTATCTTTTTGCTTACTGGGACACAGAAAGATGGACTCCTGGGTTCTTGAACTGTGGGTTCTGGTACCTTTCCTGTTACCTGATTTAAGTCCCCTAAAAATACATATGTCTACTCTTGGGAGCAGAAATGTGATCAACAAAAGTCAAGATGGTCTGGCTTTTTTAAAATTGTGATCTATCATTTGTTGAGTTTAAAAGCTGTCCTGATGGGTTGGCTAGAGGAACTGTCATACAGTAACCAATATCATAATAATAATAATAATAATAATCTTTATTTGTAGAGCACTTTTCAAAAACAAGTTACAAAGTGCTTTAACAAGTGTAAAGACAATAATACAAAAACAATAGAAGATAAAAGCATGAAAACATTGAAAAGACTAAAATACACGTTTAAGTAAAATACAATAAAATAAAAGGGATAAAATAAAGTCAAATAAGATGGGGAAAGGCTTTTAAGAAGGGACTTAAAAGAGTTCACTGACTCAGCTGACCTGATTTCCTCGGGCAGGCTGTTCCAGAGCCTCGGGGCCCTGACAGCAAACGCTCTGTCCCCTTTAGTTTTCAGTCGAGACTCTGGAACAGACAGCAGACCTCTGCCCGAGGATCTCAACATTCACTGAAACTATGGCTGTGTTTGAAACTGAAGGCAGTTGCCTCGCTGCCTCGATACCGTAACAGACAGCTGCCTCAGAAGGCATCACTTTCAAATGAAGACAGCTCTGTTTACATTAGTTAGCACTTACAGCAACTCGTGACATCAGCATGCCGTCTTGCGTCTCTTCTAATAGCATCAGTGCTGTCTTCAAAAGTGGCCGTTACTGGGGCAGTTTGAAGGCATCTTGCGCGACAGGAAGAGATCGTTCGAGACCTTCTGAGAGAGCAGTTTAGCCCGTTTCAAACACAGCCTGTACTGGAACCCCCCCCCCAGCTTCTGGTGCAGACCATGGTTATCTCTCACCTTGACTAGTGCAATGCCCTCCTAGTAGGTCTTCCAGCTTGTGCGGTGAAACCCCTACAAATAGTTCAGAACGCAGAAGCCCGTCTGGTTTTCAATCAACCCAAAAGGACTCACTAATGTCACTCCATTACTCAGCAACCTCCAAGGCCTACCGAATAAAATTCAGGACTACTGGGTCTGCACCATCTACCTAAACGCCATAAACCAAGCCTGCGCTCCTCTAACAAACGCCGCCTGGTTCTGCCATCCCTTCACACAAAGCAATCCCAGTCCCTGTTCTCATCTGTGACACCACGATGGTGGAACGAGCTACCACACGCCATCAGAGCGGGGGCGTCCTTCTCTGACTCCAAGAAGCTCCTGAAAACTCTTGAAGGGTCCAGCTGGAGCCCACAGACAAACTTGACGGAAGTTGAACTAATTATATATTATAGTATATTAATACTGTAATTCCTGCAATTATGTATTTATAATGATAATAACAAAGCAATGTTTCAATTCAAACCACTGTTGTTTTTTTTGTTTGTGCTTTTTAAGTTTCACAAGCCAAGAATGTATTTTGATTTATGTTAAAACTTTACAACATTACTGAAAATTTAATGACAATTTAATAACTGCGGTACGAACATTAACACTATCGTACAGCTGTTGCAGGGCACGTCTGCTACGTTGGCTGCAGTGGTCCATGTGACTGGGTCTAACGTCATCACGTTTTGTGCACGTTGTCTTCTGGGACAAACCATATTTGGAGGTTCAACTTCCGTCACGTCTGGTCATGTCTGCGGGCTGCAGCTAGATGTACTTGAAACTCTTCAGAGAACACTTCTCCTGATAACACCTCGAACCCCTAACATGCACTTCATGTGCTCTCTTCTTCTTCCATCTCCTTACTGTTCTCTTGTCTTGATGGCACTATCCGTGAACTCTTATTACTTCCCCTACGTGTTTATCCAACTGATGCCGTACACGCTAATAGCTCTTACTAGTATTTATTGTTGCTTGTCGATTTCTTACTTTACTGATGTATGTTTTACCTCAAAAGTCGCTTTGGATAAAAGATATGCCAAATGAGTAAATGTAAATTATGAAGATTTTGACTTTAGTTTTCCATCCTGAGATGTCAGAGATCACTCTCAGATTTTCACAGACACATTTTCACCCTTTACTGGCAGTTTAACAGAACAGGTAAATTATCCCAGTCGGGGAGAGTTGGCAGACAGAAACCAGCTCTCAGGGTACAGTTTTTGGGGACAGGACAAGACGAGGACAAAGAGGATGAGGGTGGATCTAAGCGCCCCCCCCCCCCCCCCCCCAGGGTTCAATTTTCACATTTTCTTGGAGGTGACTGCAAAGGGAAAAAGAAACACCTCTTTGCTGCCACAAATAGACACCAGCAGCACTCCTGCACTGCAGCTCTCTGCTAATTTTTAATCTTCCACTTGGCAGTAATGTAGGATAATGGAAATAGCGTAGTAATAACTAAGAGTCGGTTCACACGTATTTACACAACGCTGAGGGCTCGGGAGCAGATGTGGTGCCAACACTTAATTTTCAGCCTTTGTTAATGAATGTGAGGGATCATGCTTCTATTATGCAGCAATTATAAATAAGAAAAGAAACTGGAAGGATGAGAGCATGTAGTCATATCCACTACATGGCAAATAAAACACTGAGGGACCAGAAAAATGTCTCATCTTGTGGTTAAATACAGATTTTATCCACATGTGCATAATTTTTTTTGTGTAACATTAACTCAGTGAAGAACTCCACATGTGCACATATTTATGACTGCATTAGTAAATGGCATCACATGCTCTTTGAATGATAAAAGTGGTGTTATTCTGCGTTTGTGCTGTCAACAAGTGCCGCGGAAAGAACACGTGCAGATGGTGGGGACTGTTTTCAGTGGAACACGTTTGCTGTTTTAGCCTCCAGAGTGAGGAAACTGTAAAACTGTGTCAGGCTCCGGTTTATCAATTACCTGCCTTCACAGTAAACACAATCACTGTGGATAAAATCACACCAAACACAGATGCAGTGCTTTGGCTGTGTCTGTTTGTAGGTAGTGTTTGGAATTTATAAATTATATAATATTATGATATCAGGGTAATGAGTTTTTTTACTTTTGGTATTTAAAACATATTTTGATGCAAACACTTTTGCACAACTTCTACCTGTAACTTAAGTATTTATAAATGGTGGTATTAGTACTTTTAAAAGAGTTTGGTCTAGACCTGCTCTGTATGAAAAGTGCAGTGAGACAACTTCTGTTAGGAATTGGAGCTATCTAT